AATCCTGTGTAAATCCATCTCATACTCCTTTTCTTTTTGTTGTTGTTATTTTTTTGTTGATGCACTTCTTCCACATGGTGATCATTGGTGTTTTTGCTGGTGCTTGTGGATATTACTGTTGTTTATGGTGTTGGGGATAACATTCCCGATGCTGCGTTGATTGTTATGGACAGTGTTCCTTAAGCTGTACGGTGTGCCTCTCACTCTGCTGCTGTGATGAGATCCTACTGGCATGGACAAGTACACTCTGCAGCCCCATACAGGTTTATAATGATGAGCACTCCTGCTGCTGCCTAAACGTAGTGGAGGATGAAGAGGTGTATGGGCTGCTGCTAGAAGCACTACAATAGAGAGAAATGTATATGAGTGCACACACACACAGAGAGAGAGAGAGAGAGAGAATAGTGAAACCTCTTCCACTACTATTGGGGTGGGTGTTGGCAGGACTCATTCAAGCGAGGGAGAACCCAATGGCGGGATCCATTGGAGTCATCTCTTATTCTTTCCACACTTGAAAGGAAACCAATTAATATGGATTGTGAAACTACTTTCATTAGCCACACCAGTACAATGGATTAGGCAGCAGTCTTCTGTCAGCACACAGAGAGATATCTCAACAATAGAATGGCGGTAAGGCTGAGAAAGAAATAAATGTTACTAAACCAGTAGAGGATAATTCAAGAAAGGAACACTGCAAATACACCCAATAAAGAGAAATCAACACCAAAAACAAACACCAGGAATTACAAAACATTACAAAGGAAGATACGGAACTATCCGGAATGCAGTCCACTACCATCCACACAGTTAACACTAGAATCAGAAAGAGACTCAACACTCACTGAAGAAATACCAAACATCAGCACAAGGTTCACATTAAGCAGCAGGGACAACACCAACACACACACACACGGAACAGGTTCACTGCTAGGAGTAGTAGATCTTGGCGCATCTTCATCACAGTCATACAAAGTGGACATTGCCAAAATAGACTAGATTACACCATTAAAAATAAGAGCATACAGAGAGAAACGCAACACATCAATAAAATAAACACACAAACACAATCATAAACAAAAACAAAACAACCAGCAACAGATCAACATAAAACGAAAAAAAAAAAAATAACCTAGAGTGTCTAGCAGAAAAAAAAACAATACCCAGTATTAAACAGAAAACCCCAATTAACTCTAAAAGAAGGTCATATAATAAATTCAAAATAGCGACCAATAAGAGCATGAAACACACAAGTACATAGAGCTCTTCATTGCGTGGTCCGCATATATAGCAAAGAATGAAATTATGTGTAACAGTTAATACTTTTCTCTTCTGCAAAAGGAAATATATCAAACCGGTACAGGTCAAAGCACACAACGACCCAGCAAAATCATCAAGCAAAAAAAGAAAATTAAATATTTGTGCCCAATTTATCCAGTAAACACAAGAAATACACCGACTATGGGTGTAATTCTATATATGTGTGTATATACAAGCAATTATAAATATAAATTCATCTGTTATTATTATTTCCTTTTTCACCACAAAATGCAGTTCATCATCATCATAGTGCAAGCCCAGGTGCACACAGAGAGAGAGAGTCTCCAAGAACACACACACACACAATGGAGTAGCAATAATAATAATTATAGGATAAACACACAGAGAGCAAAAACACACAAAACACAATAACATTAAGAAACAAAAAAAAGAGATAANCGTGGATCGGTTGTAGGTACAGGAGGAAGTGTGGTTGTTGTTGTTGTTGTTGTGGTTGTGGTTGATTCCTCATTGATGGTTGTATTTTCCGCATCATTTGTGATGTTTGTCACCAAAGTCTCTGTAGCATTAGATTCCTTGGAAGTCTCAGTGAGTGAATTGTTGGAAGAAGTCTCAGGTGCACTCTGAGGTGCCGCAGCAGCTTCACCTTCT